TCATGATCACACAGGCTGGTGTGCTTCTTCCATGTGGGATTATTTGCTTCCCTGCTAGGTAGCTGCTTGTTTAACTTCAAGCCTTTAAGAACTAAGACACAATATCTTTTGATAGCTGGGCACCATCCACTTTCTTTACCACATTTGTTTATGCACCCATTTTGTCTTTAGTGATTGTGTTTGGAAGGTGAGTATCACGGAGTGCCAGGTTATTAGAACAAAGTGGTCTTGTGTTTAGGGAAGCCTTGAGTAGAGGCCCAAAGTCTGTCTGCTATCTCAATACTTAACATACAAATATATGTACATTGGCCTCTATTCCTTTCATTATAAATTAATATATTTACATATATACATTCCTATAGCTAGCTATACCTCTATAAATAGCTTTTGCTTCCTATTGCCTTTTACCTTCCTCCCCTTCCAGTATCATGCTCACCTTCCACTTGGCTCTCAGTAATTCCTCTTGGATACATTGCACTTGATCAAACCCCACCAGGCCTCCTCAACATCATTTTTAGATCTCTTGTTGTTCCCTCATCCCTGAGTTTGGCTCCCTGCTCACCCTCCCCACCCCGTCCTCTCCATGGGACCACCAGTCCCGTTGTTTTCGCATTGGGATTGTTTGTCCTGCCTATCTTATATAGATAGACATTGGGCAAAAAAAAACAAAACTGATACATAGTTCCAGATCTGTCTGCTGATCCTTATGAGTGTTTTCCAATCAGGTCTGATGAGGTGCCAAGCCCTGTCCCCCGAGTCAGAAGTCTATATTCAGGATTCCTTGGGGACTTGGTTATTTTGCTCCTCTTGCTGCCCTGTTGCACTCCCTTTACATTTCACTCCACTGTTGAGCATCTCTTAACAAAACTTCCTTACATCACCAGTGTCATGGAAATCAAGCAGCAAAGGATGATGCTTCTATACAAGGCAAGCCCTTACCAAATCTGAAATGCTCAATTTTAAGCTATGCTTAGGTTATCTAAGGTTGTACATTGCCATTCAGAGAAGTTAGGCACACACTCTATAACTGTTAATAGAATTATTAATAATCCAAAACTGACAAGCCATAAATCTCCATCTAAGAGAGAAAAATATTCCTCCAGCTTGGACCCATCTCTTCATACCTCCTTAGTTGTGTCGGAGGAGAAGGGCCTCAGCATGACACATCAGAACACCCAAGATTCTTAAAGATAAACAAGCAGCCATCTAGCTGAGAAGCAACCAAGTCCACATGGAAGAAGCACGCCAGCCTGTGGGATCATGAGGTGTCAATGGGATCAGGTATCAGGCATCAAAGACCCAGAACAAAAAATCACATCATTGTGAATGAGGGGAGTGCAGAGTGGAGACCCAAAGTCCATCTGTAGACAATTGGACATCCCCTTACAGAAGGGTCACC